GGAAGTGATTAACCTTGCAGTCAAGGAGCAGAGGTTTCTAGGACCATCAAAGGAGAAAAGTGGAGAACAGAACCCTACCCGGAGAAGCAGTGATACCAGGAATGGAGGCAGAGACGATGACGTGGAGAGATGGAGCGGCTGGAGACTTTGGACCCAGAGAGGGAGAGGGGGCGGTGTGCGGACGGGGGTGGGGGATGGGGGCAGGCTAGCAGGGTATACCCTTTGGTTGATGGATGATGCATGCAATGGATTGTAACCATGGCAAGAAAACGATATACAATGGGATCAATGTGACGCTGATGTCCTCCCATGTAAACGATCATATAATTCACAATAAAGCATTAAAAAAAAAAAAAAGAATTCCCATCAACTTCAGCCCAACGCTCCTCCCTCCAACCTTTGACCAACTCTGACACCAGCCAGCCCTCCACTGCCCTATTTCTCTGCTGGGTACACAATTCCTGGCCATGGCCACAGAGATGCGTGACTGTGAGGTTTATCAGCTTACAGCGCTGTGGGATCAGAAATGACGCAGGACAACCTCTTCTCAGCCATGCCTGCGAGCATACCAAGTGCTACAAAGCTCTTTTATAAAACTCTGCCAAGTGCCTGGAGGTACCCCACTCTGCCAGCAAGCCACCTGCCTGAAGGCACCTGGCTTTCTTGTTCTGGGGGCTAGAGAGCCCACCATGCCATATTTTGTATTTTTGCTGGTTTCCTGGTTCAACTGCCTTGGCTGCAATGTCTACTGCTGCTCCCTGCGTTACTGTCTCTGGTGTTCCGGTTCTCTCCCACTATCTCCTAGGTCTAGGAGGGTCTCAGCACAGGGACCAGGGGCTGCCAGGTACCCACTTCTCTCTCCTGAGATAAAAGGCTGACCTGAAAAAGGCTGCTAAGGGTGGTGACTTCAGTCCCATCTAAGCAATCCTGCCTCATTAGCATGGCAGACTACTCTCTCCAAGATGAGACCATACCCACAGGCACACAGGATTCATGGCACATCACAGAGTGGGGGACTATGGCTAGCAGAGGCATCATAAATAATTCATGGCACCACACTGCCTCAGGGCCTTTGCACCTGCCATTGGCTCAGTTTAGCTCTTTGTCCAGTAGTGGCGGCAGGGCACCATCTCCTTCTTCTGGTCTCAGGGTCGTGGATACTGATGTTTACAGGTCCATCAGTTCTTTGGACAAATTCTTTCCAAACTTCTTCCATTGTCATCACTCTTTTTTCCCCCAGACAGGAATAGACCAATAGTTGTACCACAGATGCCCACTCATGTGTTTTCAGGCCCCAGCCACTATTGGGAGTTCATTCCTGCAGCTACTGGGTTCATCCACCACCTGGGGCTTTCCCTGGTTCCTGGTGGCCTTCTACTTGGCCAAACGTGATGTTCCTTGTATGGTCACTACATGTTGGTGGATTTCCACATGGCCCTGGTAACTTTTTATTTTTACATTCACTTAGATGGGCCACTGTGTCAGCCCAGTGCATCCGTTTTCAAAGCCAATGACCATGTCTCACAGTTAAAAATCCTAAACCACTCACAGAATGTCCCCCTATCCCACTTTGGGCAATAGCGTATAAGCTTTTTTGTTTTTCTTTTTTGCATCACCATTGGAAAAGCCCAAAGACTCCATATTCCATAGGGTCTGTGAGGGTGAGTGAGTCTGCACTTGGGGGAGGCATTTCGTCTCCAGCAATAGCTCTAACGACCTTGGACCCCGCTTCTCGAGCACTTCTGATGTTCCTTTAACACCAGCCGACGCTTTTAACAATGCCCCCCCCCCATGAGCTTTTCTAACACAGATGTTTGGGTGAGGGGTTACCCAGGAAGATTGCTCGGCACTGTTTCCTTTGGTGACGTTGCCACACAAAGGGGCCACTGAGGAATTTAGGCCTAAGGAAGAGCGTTGTCAGGATGTGACGTTGTTTCTGACTCACAGTGACCCTGTGTAGGGCTTCCGAGGAATAGCTGGTGAGTTTGAACGGCCAAGTTTGCAGTTCAAACCAACCTTGAGGTCTAGAGCTTATCTTACAGTGCCACACCAGGACTCCAAATGGAACCAACTCGGACTCAGCCAGATTTGAACCTGGAACTTCTTGCACCTGAAGCAAGAATCATATCCCTAGGCCCAACGAATAGCAACAATACGAGCATTCAAATTTGACATGGTTGTCTGACTGCTTAGCTACTGGCAGATTTTAAAAAACCCAGCTAATTTTATCTGGACAATGACTAAGGAAAACTGACCAACTGTTGCCTTTCAGTTATGGTACTGATGAGAAGGCATCACAGAAGAATGCGCACATCTGTCTAGGAAGTACAGCAGGGAGGCTCCTCAGAAAAGAAGGTGGTGGGACATCATCACACAGTCTTTGGACATATAACCAGGAAGGAAAACAGCACACTTGGTAAAGTACAGGGTCAGCGATAAAGAGGAAGACCCTTAATGAGATAGTCTGACACAGTGGCTGCCGCCATGGACTCAAACCTTAGGATGGGACAATGCTGTAGGACCGGAGAGTGTTCCATTCTGTTGAGCCGGAGCCACTCAAAGGCACCGCCCACCACCACCAACTAGCCTTGTGACTGTGAGGACGCTCTAGACGTAATACAAATGTAGAAAAGGAAGTATCTGTAAAAACGAAATCTGTTTTTGGAACAGAAAAAGGACGTTGGTGAAAAAACGAGGGAAATCTGAATAAAGTCGGAGTTAATTACGTTGTAGCTTGGTGATTTTCTTGGGTGTGATCATCTTACCAGCTCAAGCCACTGGGGAAAGAGTACATGGAAGGACAAGGTTCACCACTAGCTTGACCACAGCAACTTGAAAGGATAGACAGGACTCTTGGGGGCACTGAGTTTACGTGAGGGAGGGAGGGACCACTCTGAAGAGAAGGGTGAGGGTGGTTGGACAACTTGAAGAACGTCATCAGGGTTGCTGAATTCTACATGTAAGGGAAAAAAAGGTGTTTGGCATTGAGTGGATTCGGAGTGACCCAGGTGACAGAGTAGAACCATCCCACAGAGTGGGACAGCCAGGCTGCAAATGCCCAGTCACACCACTGCTCGGCTGGAGACAGGACGTGATTAATGAAGAGATACTGATGGTAATGGTCTAATTCACTTCCCAGAATTTCTGACAGTGATGGCAAGAAAAAGGGAAGACACAGAGGGCGGAGAAACTAGAGAAGCATTCTGTTTGGTAAGAATGGCGATGGCTTTATTAGTGCAGAACTTTGTCACGGGGTGAGAAAGGATGGGATGAAGAGGTTGATGAAGGGATCAGAGAAACGGATGTTGATGACGGTTTGTACAAACGACAGTCAAGTGAAGCTACTACAGCATACATTCAATCTCTTGTACAAAATTGTTTGCCTTTTCTTTCTCACTATCTGCAAAAGGTGTTCCCGTACTGTCAAAATACGTGCACAGATAGTAATTAGGACTTCATTGTTTCAGGCTGGCTGCCTTATTTTAGGGTCCTTGTCTTGAAACCTTAGTTTTGAAAATTGATCAAGTAAGATGCTGCACGTGACTCATTCTGGTTACAGCTAAGCCCTTCTACACATGTAAACTCACATGGAGTTGGTCCCACGAGGGAACTTCGGGGCAATACCTTTTGAAAGCAGTTTTATTTAGAGCTGCCAGCGTGCCACAGTTCAAGTGAGTTCTACGGGGTCGACACTAAGTACTTCCAGTTGCACTTTTGCAAAACAGGCGTGTTATCCAGATGCTCCGATGTTGGGGGCTGCAGACCCTATGCCAGGAACATTTTCTGGGATTGCATCTTGCTTTCTGAACTTTGTTTAGCCACATAAAGAAAATCTGCTTTTGGCACAATTTACCTCAAATCCATTTCAAGTTTTATATTTGTTTCTGACTAAAAAACTGCAAGTTACCATCTCTGCCCTCCCCTCAAAAAGATAATCATTGATTCTGATCATAGCGACTACAGGCCAGGGGAGAGTGGCTTTCCCAGCTGACCACTGACAAAAGCAGACTGCCTCACCTTTCTCCTCCCACGGGCTGGGGCTGGTGGGTTCCAACCACTGACCTTTCAGTTTGCAGCCGAGCACTTAAGCCCTGCACCACCAGGGCTCCCTCTGTGAAGACAACAGCCTACGAAACACTCTGGGGCAAGTCCACTGTTACACGAGGCTGCTATGGGTCAGCCTTGATTTAGCGGCACCCAACAACCACATTAACAATGGACAAGGACATGGACAATGTCAGAATAGAAAACACCCTCACCACACAGAGCTTTTGGGTCAGTAGAGAAATGCGGACGATGATATTCAATTCCAAGAAATGAATCATTTTACAAGCACATACCATAGGAGGTTCATGATTTGACTAAGCTGAGCTCAGACTCCCTGGCCGGGACTCCTGAGCAGGGTCTCTTTGGGGTGGTCACACCAGAAGGGCCATTTCAGGTCATCTGTGGTCAGAGGCCTAGCCCTGTGCTGAGGAGTAATTTCCGTAGCTCCCAGAGGCCCTTTTGTGGGTTTGCCATGTCTGGTGGGGAGAAGATACCTGCTGGCCCTCCCGTGCAGGCTCCGGGGGTGGGGGGTGAGGCAGGGAGAGCAGATTGGGAGTTCCCGAGTCCACACAGCAAGACCATATTTAATGCACATCAAACTTGGCAGTACAGGCAAGTGCTGGGGGCTCAGGGAAGGGGGCTATGGCCATTCTTGGGAGGGGGGCAGGACACTCCCTCTCAGCACCGTCCCCTCTCCCCTCTGCCTCCCTGTGAGGAGGGCAGGGCTGGAAACTGCCCCATTTTACAGATGGGGCAACTGAGTTCCGACACATTTCCTGGCTGCCCTGCACACGTGCAACCCCGCTTTGGGGGACGCTGGGGTCGGAGGACTGAGCAGGAGTCCGGGAAGGTGCAGGTGCCGGCTCTCAGGTCCTCCACAGGCCATCGGGTTTGCCGGGCCTTAGCATGCCCCTCTTGCCCACAGTGCCAGTCCCTCAGGACCAGCTGAGGGGTCACGGGAATGGGAAGGGCCGTTCTCCGAAGTTCTTACTGCTCGTGTCCACTTGGTGCCCGCCAGGCCGGAGGTGGGGCAGCTATGACATGTGAGAACACAGAAGGGCTGTCTCCACCTGGAGCCGGTGGGCAGGTTCTGGACAACACTGAGACATACATGCCTGGGAGGGGACTGGGTGGGCCCTGGGGTCCTGTCACACCAGGGGGACACAGAGCTGGGGGAGCCGCTGTGGGTGGACAGCGTGGAAGAGGGCTTCCTGGGTGGTGGAGTCCCTGCAGTCCTGGGTGCTGTGGAAACAAGAGGACACAGGTCTCCCTCCATCCCACCCTGGCCATCCCTCAGTGCTCTCTCGAGGCCTGTCCTCCCTTAGCCAGCCTCACAGCTGACCAACAAGCAGCCCTGGGTGGGCGGGCCGGGGATCCTGAGCCTGTGTCTGAGTGCCATGCTAAAGAGCACCAGCAGGGGAACCAATGGCTCACACAGCGGCAGGCCCAACTCTGCCTCGGGAACTGCCAACCAAGCCCTGAGCACGTAGGGAAATGAGCCAGGACCTCCCTAAAACCTGGGCCCAGGGGGGATCCTGTAGGGGTGGACCAGCTATCCCTTGGAGCCCAGACAGGGGAAGGTGAGCTCAGGGAACAGCTGAGACCCTGCACGTCAACCCTGCCCACCCATCCTGCCCAAGCATGGGGGTTCTCCACTGGTTGTCTCAGCCGGCCCTCCCCCGGCTCAGACGCTCAGTCACCGTGGGTGCGGGCTCCAGTCACTGGCCAGAGGTCTGGAAGTCGGGGTCCTGGAAGCCCCACACCTCGATGGCCGAGATGAGGAAGTTTTCAGAGCAGAGTGCCTGGTTGTTAAACGTGTCGCAGTGGCCAGTCCTGCCCCGGTTCAGGTCTCCATCGATGAAGAGGGCCTGGCCACCCCCGCCACCTGCAGGCAGGCCACCCACTGGGTTAGGGCAGCTCCTATCGCAGCAGCCAGGGACTTGTCCCCACGGCTGTCTTCCTGGGCATCCACCAGTCTCTCAGTGACCCCCCGCCAGCTGCCCCACTCCCAGCCTCAAGTCTGCACCCCCCTTCCCCTCCCCCCGAGCCTGGTTGTGGAGCAGCCCACCTATAATGAGGCAATCATTGCCCCCGGCCATGAACATGGACTCAGTTTTGGAGGGCAGGTTGAAGTGCCTCGCTGCCAAGAAGGGTGAGAGGCGGTCAGCGGGGTCAGTGGAGACGGGCTGGCTGGCCAGGGCGGGGATGATGCTGGTCTCTGAGGGCATCAGGGATGCCTTGGTCAGTTCTGGGTGCTTAATGACCACCCACTCGTAGCGCTGGACCTCAGGCTGCAGCTGTGGGGGGAGGGGCAGGAGTTTCAGCTGAGTGCGGCCACCTGCCCCAGGGTTTTGTGGTCCTCTGACCAAACTCAGAAGCGGGATCATCCTGTAGAAGCGAGCACTATGGTGGACACACACCACCCACATAGCCATGACTGGAGTCCTCTTAGGGAAAAGCAGCTTCCAGTGGGAGCCCAGGCCACGGGTCAGGGGCCCTTGGGGTCTGGGGTGGCCGCTGGCCTCACCAGGGACCCTGCTCAGCCTGACCAGGCCAAATCCTACTCACCCGGAACACGAAGCACTCCCCAGTCCCGAAGAAGCCCAGCTTGCCCCCGAACTTATTCCTCTCACTCCAATCTGTTGACAGATAGGCCCCACAAACCTGTGGGGGGACAGGCCCAGGTGAGGCACTGTAGTCTGCAGGTGTCCACTCTGGCTCAAGTGGACAATGGCGCAGGGAAGATTCAAGTCTGGGGGCAACATGGTCACCTCAATCCAAAGAACCACAGAGTCTTGTCTCCCACCAGCTATTGGGAGGGGGTGGCAGCCAGGGGCTGGGGATGCTGTCTCGGTTCCCCCATCCCACCAACACCTGACACAGTTTGGATGCCTCCATTTCCCTTCTTGGACCTCGAGTGTGGCCCCACTTGCCGGTGTGGACACTCTGGTCTCAGGCGTTGACCCCAGGGGTACACTCAGGCTGAAGCTCTGTGCCTGGAGCAAGACGCCCGACTCGGGGCGGCGGGTGCGCCAGGGCGGGGAGGGGGGCTGTCAGCCCCACTGTTGAACCACGATGATCTAGAGCAAGCAGGTGCTTGGCCTGACTTCTGACCTCCTCGTGAGGTCCACCGCAGACGGCTGAGGACCACGGGTTAGAGGCTTGTAGGGGTTATGAGTAGAGTAGGGAGCCAGGACCCCGGAGTCAGGAAGCTCCGGGGGACTCAGGGGCAGAAGTGGGGGTTAAAAAACCCGACCCGGAGCATGAGGTGTATACCCCACATCTCTCCTCACCTCCTTCTGTGTGGTCTTGATGAGCAAGAGGGTGGGCTCGTGGCCTTCACACTGGAAATAGAACCTGTGAGCAGAGACCACACGGGACAGCCTAACTATAGGGTTCCCGCATCTCCTGGACCACCCCAACTGAGGACCTGGGGCTGTCAGGTGCAGAGGCCTGGGGACTGAGCTTCCTGTGGGCAGTGGTAGGAGCCCCGGGCCATGGTGCCCAGGGCTGGGAGGAGAGACACAGCCATGCCAGCACTGTGAGGAAGCAGGAGCCGGAGGGAGCCCCACGCCATGGAGGGGATGCTACGTCTGGGGGTGGGAGATGAGGCTGGACGATACCAGACCCCGGGGGGCTGGAACAGCACCTCACTGTGCACCTCCCCTGGGTCCCCGGGTGTCACCTGGTCAGGCTGTAGCCATGCTGCAGTGACGAGAAGAGCAGGAGAGGCTGGCAGAGGGCGAAACGCTCAGGGACCCACGACCAGATGTCCCGCATCTCTTTGACACTGACAATCTCCGAGTGGAAGTTGTCCGCGTGGACAGCCAGATGCACAAACTGCCTGGGAGAGCGGCACGGCTCAGACCACGCCCCCGATGCCCCACGCCCCCTTACCCCAACTTGAGCGGAGACGTAAGGATCTTCCCAGCACACCCAGGTCTGGCACCTGATTCTCAAGGGGTGCCAAGAAGAGATGGGGTGCTGCTGCTCACCCAGGGGGTGTCTCCCACCCCACCCATCTGGATGGGACAGAGTGCCTCTTCTCTAAGAAACAGACAATCAGACAAGGCTTGGGGGTCAGCCAAGCACCCACAGCCAACACCCTGGAGGCAGTCAAGCCGACAGACAGACAGACAGACAGTAAGCACCCGACCGGCAGGCAGGCTCAGAGGCAGCCCCGCGGAAGCCCAGCAAGGAGCAGAGAGGATGCCAGCTGGAGGCTCTCAGACCTACCTTTTAGAAAGTGACAGACTGACAGACAGGAAGGAGAGAGAAAACAGACACACAGCAGTTAGTGGACCCACACCTCACACGTGCCCACAGAGGGGATCTGTCCACCACGAGTGACTCTGCCAAGACTCTTGGTACACTGCCTAGGCCTGCTCCCAAATGCCACACAGACTAGTGTGACGTCCAGGGTTGCCCGAAGCGAGCCCACACTGCTGGCCTCTGACCCCTGGCCTGGGGACCTGAGGACGGGGCCTGAAGAGGCGTCCATCTGCGCCACATGCTTCTTAGCCCCTCAGTGGCTGGTAGCCAGCCTCCGGGAAGACACTTAGCTAGGTGTCTTGTTCCATGCATGGGTAGGCAAGTAGATGGACGGGGAGGGGGACAGGTCAAGAGGTGTAGGACCAGCTCACAACAGCACAGACCCTGTCCTTCACGGGCCTTGCATCCAGCACCTTAACACGGGGCCACACCCCGCACCCTTATTCCAGGCCAAACACCCAGCCCCTGACTTCGGGCCCCTAGTGCCCAGCCGCACCCCCGGCACCTGGCCACTACCTCTTCTGCTTGACAGTGATGCCCTTCCGCTTGAGCGCCTTCTCGTTAGCCAGCTGTAGCAGCTGGATCTCCTTCCGGGAGAAGAGCCGGATGGCGAACGCCTTCTCCAGCAGCTTCTCGGGAGACACGGTCTTAGCGATGTCCTTGACGAACGCCCGGATGTCCTGTTTCACATTGTCGGACTCGGGGGGCTGCCCGGCCCGCCCCTTGTGGAAGAACTTGAGGATGGCCAGGGCCACCCGGTACAGTACCTTGTAGCCCTCCACCAGGAAGACGTCGAAGACGCGGGCAAAGTAGCTGAGGGGTAGCTCGCCAAAGAGCCAGCGCTGCCAGTCTGCGTAGACCTGCAGAACGTCCTCGGACGTGGCCACCATAAGCTTGTGGGCCGCCTGGCAGTACTTGTTCACTAGGTCCCCGAAGGTCATACAGGAGGACTCGAAGGCCAGGAAGCTCTGGTCCATGAGCTTGCGGCCCGGCTCGTTGCAGGCCAGGATGCGGCAGGCCTTCTCAAAGCACTCGGCCTCGTCCAGGCTATAATGAAGCAGGAACGCCACCACAGCCGGCAGCGCGGGGCAGAAGGAGATGTCGGGAAACTGGTTGGCGATGCACAGCAGGATCTTGCGCACGGCGCCCTCACCCCGCGCATTCAGGCAGTAGCTGGGCACCTGCGTGTCGTCCACGAACTCGGGCAGGGGCAAGCTGCTACTGCTATGCTTGCCCACAATCTTGCCCACGATGTCGCTGTAGACGCTGGCATCGGGGGTGACTGTGCGGCACGGGATGTCTCGGATCAGCCGCTGATACACCTTACCCCGCAGGGCGTGGCTGCGTGCCCAGTAGCCCTGGCGTGCCAGCTGCTTCAGTTCGGACAGCTCCATGCAGCTCAGCTCCTTTGGACCCAGGTCCTGGATGGCTGCGTCCATTTTCTCTTGGTCCACAAAGCAGTTGTACCCGAGGGAGTCCATAGTTAGGGGTAGCGTCCAGTGCTGCCTGCTGGCGTGGGGGGCGTCTGCCCTCCCTCTGGAGGGGGCCAAAGCACGGCTAGGTCCTGCAGCTGCCTCTCCGGGAGCTTTCTGCTGCCCTGTCTGCCATCCTATGCCCTGCAAGAACGAAGAAAGGACATTTGTTATTGCACGAGTGTCTGAGCCGCGGGGCTCTTCTTCCAGTATGAGGTAACACAGTCTACTACTGAGGCCCACAGAGCTCTCAGGGCTAACTTCAGAAGTGTATCGCCAGGCCTTTCTTCCTAGTCTTAGTCTGGAAGCTCCGCTGAAACCTGTCCTGCAGGTGGCGCTGCTGGTGTGTGACGTGCCGGCGGCACAGATCCAGCATCACAGCCACACACAGGTCACCACAGGAAGACAAAGAGCCAGCCGAGTGGGCCACAGTTCGACATCATTAGGAGGTACAAGAAAATGCTAACTGTAAGCAAAGGAGCCTCTCTGAATAGCACAAAGAGTTCAGCACTCGATGACTGTCCAAAAGGTTGGTGGTTCAAATCCACTCAGAGTCTTCTCAGGAGACAGATCTGGAGATCTGCTTACTCCTGCCACACGGGCTGTGAATGGACATCGACCGGACAGACCCAACAACAAGGATCGCAGAGACACCAGAGACACCTGGTAAATCCTCACTGCAAGCGTTCCTCAGAGTGACGCATGTATGCGCTGCAGAATAAACACTGACTGCAAGGCTGGTTTGCACTGTAAGGTTGGTGGTTCAAATACCCCAGCTGCTCCCGGGAAACCGTATACAGGGTCACTGTGAGTTGGAACTGGCTCGACAGCATACAACAAACTTCAAAAGCATCACGAATGTGGGCGTCTAGGAAATGCAAGTCACCTCTCCGGGCAGCTAATGGGAGAGAAAAACGATGGGGGTGCTGGGGCAGGGGCAGAACAGAGGTGGACAGGAAACCAGGCTGCCACAAAGAACCATCCTGCACCCTGGGGGGCTTGGGGTACCCTCTCCAGTACAGGAACCCTAAGATACCGGCAGTCAAAGGAGGCGGGGGCACCATGCTAGCAGATGTTGAAGGCAACGTGCTGTAGGTGGACAGCTTGAAGGGGCTGCCGGCTGGTGACTCAGCAGCTCCACGTCTGACCTCTCCGAGGGACACCTGCTGATGGCCCAGGAAGTCTGCCTCAGTGGGTTCTGGTCTCTTGTGCTCAGCCGATGCTCTGTGAATGCATCGAGCCGTGTGTGAAGCAGACGTTTTCTGAAGACAGACTCTAGACGTTGTTCCTGGCAAGGGGAGCGGGGCTCCTCACAGGTAACATGAATGGAAGCAGTTCTCCTAACTAGCCCAACATAGTGTGTCCCGCTGGAAGAGCCATGCCAAGGCTGCCCTCTTAGGAGACAGGAGAGAACCCAGTGGGTGGCCAGTGGGTTTGCTTGGTCCTGGGAGGAACAATAGTGTGGGTCTCCCTCCTCCCATGGGGTTTAAAAGGCCAGCACATGAACCTCTGCAGGGACTCCAGAACCATCTTGCCTGGGTCAAAAAAAGTGCCAGGATAATCAAAACATCTGTGACCAGAACAGGGGCTGGACAGAATGGTGTCCATTCTCGCTCCACCCGCCCCAGAGTGGGGTTGAATATTAAACTGGAACCTGCACAAGCAACTACGGTGGCCTAGAGGTCCTGCCGGCAGAGCTTTCAGAAGCTGTAGACCTGGAGTTTCCTTTGCTGCAGTTAAGTGGCCTAGGGATGTGCCTGGGCCGGAGGGGCAGCTGAGGCAAGGCCTAGGGGGCAGGAGACCCTAAGGAACTCCCTAGGTCTCCTCTCAGACCCACAATGACCTCAAGACGTCAATATAAACCAGGTGGGAACCCTCTTAAGGTACAACTATCGGTGTCTCCTCAGCCAGCGGAGAGCAGAGTGAAGAAAAACAAAGACACGTGGAAATCAAGAGTCCAAAGGATGAGCGGAGCCCAGGAGTCTCAGCGTCCACGGCCCTGAGACCAGGAGCACTAGATGGTGTTGGCTGACCATTCTGCAAGGAATCACAAGAGGAGTGGGAGCAGAAAGTAGAAGAAAACGCAAAATCGCATAAAAAAGACCAGGTTTACTGGGGGTCTTTGGTCACCTTTCAGGCCTGAAACTAAACTCACCCTCATGGCTAACTTTGAGCCAGATGACAGATAGGCCTACAGGCCAGGAGGCACACACTCCATTGGAGATCAAAGGGCAGCATTTGCTCAGAGATAAATAAAGCTCAGAAGGCAGGAAGGGAGAGGAAAGCATGAGGAATGGAACCAGGGAACAAAAGGACCGAGTGGAGAGAGTTACATTGCAGGGTGGGTAAAAACAATGAATGGAAAACCAAGTTTTTCTGTGAACTTTCACCCACGTCACAATACAAAGCTGTAACAAAGCAGGTCCCGGGTGGCTGTCTTAGAATTTTTTTTATTACTACGCAAATGGTGATTCCTGGTGAGACACCGCGGGATCAGCACTGCACCGTAAACCTACCAATTTCTCCTCGGAAACCCTAAACACGGTAGCAATGAGTCGGAACTGACTCGACAACACTTAAAATCAACAATATACAAATGATACATGAATGAATGAATCACAGAAATGACAAATATGACCAAGTTGGATGGGGGCATAAGAGGAGGCAGGAAACAGAAAACATAGAATCCGGGTTAGAACACTGGAGTCTGGGAGGTAGGTGTTCACAGCTCAGGTGACCCCCTTTCTGTGTGTCCACTCAGCAGCCAGCCCTCTTCAAAGTCCCAGGTGGGAGGCAGTCCGGCCTGGCTTCAAGTCCAGCCTCACCATTGGTTTGCTTGGCCCTCGGACAGGCCAGTGACCTTCCCTGAACGGCAGCTTCCTCATCTGTCATGTGGAGCTCGCCTCCCAGAACACAGGGCTGGGCTGGACAAAGGCCTGGCCGTCCCAGGGGTGTGCATGCACACTTGTGGTGCCTGTCTGCAGAGGTGGGTTCTCCCATTGCCCCCTGCCCCTGCTTAGGTGGCCCCCCGACATCCATATGTACGGCGACTCTTGTGTTAGGAGGGCTCATGTCACTGCCCTTGCCAGCAGTCCTGCCGCGAGTCATCGTGTGGTCAGCCCGGGCTTTGGGCAACTCCCCAAATTTGGAAGGGGGCCATGCTCTGTGTGGCTTGGCCCTGGCGTTGGGCTTAGCCTGTAATTCCAGGAAAACAGAATATCCCACAGGTTCTCTGTTCGACTAGTAACTGCAGATGTTGACATCTGGAGGGTGACAAAGGAGCCCTGGTGGCAGAGTGGGTAGAAGCTAACGGGAAGGTCGGCAGTTCAAACCCACCAGCCGCTCCTCGGGAGAACACAAAGCAGTCTGCTCCATCTGCAGTCTTGGGAACACTATGGAGTAGCTCTGCTGTCCCATGATCCACACCACGGCAGGGAGTTTGGTGGAGGTGGTCGGCTGGGTTTCGAGCTGGCTGAGAACAGTCAGACACGAGGGGACCCTGGAGCCGAATGGGTGGGTGGGGAGAGTAGGGTGCACAGTGGCAGCCAGCAAGCAGGGGCAGTCACAGAGGCAAAGCGGCGGTACATGGAGGAGACTGGTTTTACTCCACGCTCAGCAGGATGTGGGGAGGGATAGGATCCGATGTGTGCATTCAGGCTGACTTTGCCCATTGTGTATGGGGATTAGTGCAGACTGCTTACAGAAAGTGTCCAGCCCAGCCTGGCACACTGGGGCAGCTCAGATGTCCTTGAGGCGGCCCGTGTGGCACGAGGGAGATGCTCAGGTTTGCGTGTGGGGGGTCCCGAGCAGGACAGCCACAGATGCTGAGTGGCATAGTGCCCCAAGGCTACTTGAACAAGGACTCCCTTTCTGCTGATAACCCCCCCACACACAGGCTCTGTTAAAACACGTTTCCCTTGCTGCCCCCACCCCAGGTCACCCCGAGAACACAGTGACTGATGTCACTTCCCTCAGCCATGGGAAGGGACCAGAGGTGCCAGTGCCTGCCCCCTGTCCGACCCCCAGGACCACCGAGTGATTGGGTTTCCTGCCCCGTTCTTCCTAACTAGCCCCAGGATGTGGCATCTGTACCACCTGACAGGGCTGGACAGGGACCTCAGGGTCCCTGAGCACAGGGAGGACTGGCCCTGGGTGGTTCATGGCATCCCCTAGACGCCCCCCTAACCCAGCAGGCTTGGAGCTCTCCTCAGTGCCCACCGCTATGCTGCCCATCTGAGTCGGGGACATGATCCCATAGGTGTTCAGATGCCCGAGTGTGGGAGACTTGTCCATGTGACCCAGCAGAACCCTGACCCTGATCCCTGATCCCTGTTCTACACCCCACTTCCACTGGCCCCTCAGGACAGAGCGGAAGACGTTCTTGCCAAGGGCACTGGGGGTCACAACAGCCTGAAGAGAGGGCAGCAGTGACGGTTAAGGGGAACTGGGCCTTCATCCTAGGAGGTAAAGGTGCTGAGGGGGCGGGGGGCTGACGTACAAGGGGGCGCAGCCTGCATGTTAGGGCTGGAAGAGACGCTGAATGATGCGAGGGGACCAGCTGTGACCGTGGGAACTGGGGGAGTCCAGGTGGGCTGGGCAGTACCAGGAGAACAATACCTGATAGTGAGGGCAGCGAGTGAACAGAGAGACTCTTGCCCAGGGGTGGGGTTTCAGGACCCGTCACTGAGGTCTGTCTGCGTGTGTTCACCCTTGCCCACACCCACATACGTGTGCTCCCCAAGGGGTACCCATAACCAAAGGGCCCCATGGGCTTCGAAGGCAAGAGGCAGGCCTGCATGAGAAGCAACCCCACTGGGCTCCTGCCCCACCACCCCAGGGCCTTGGGAACTGGCCCGTTATCAGCTGTCACAGTGCCTCACGTCTCCCACTCCAGTAGGCCAGCCTGGTGTCCCGTGAGCGGGGTCGGGGGCCTGGGTGGATTCAGCAGCTCTGTGTTGGCTCCCTGGTGGTGAACCAGAAGACCCAGCAGGGGGAAGGACTTTCACAGG